ATCGCAGACCCATATTAATATTTTAAGACATTATTTAAAAGTCTTAAAATAAGAATGAACTATCTGAATACTAGCTAAATACTGAAGATTGAATATACGTACGAAAATCTTGTAAATACAAAAAGTTCAAAATACAAAAAAAGTAACGATAACTGTATAATTCGTTACCGTTACTGAAAAAATGTAACTATGTTACCGTTACAGTTACCAAAAAAAAGTAACTGTAACGGTAACGGCGTAACAAGTAACGAGTTACTTCCAATCCCCGCGTAGAGGTATATAGGCGACGGGGGGGGGAAAAGTGGAAAAAAATAGAAACAGGACTTTCTCCCGGTAAGGCCATTTGTAACTCCGACGAGCGCGAATTTCGTAAATATCTTCCGAATCTCAGCTGCGGCAGCAGCAGAGCTCCTCTCTCGCGCTCGGAAAACTCTCTCGATAAAATAACCGTGAAAAAATAAACCGCGGAGCATCGCGGAACGAGACTAATTACGCGGTATAAGAATAACGTTTTGAAAGAGAAACGCGCCGGCAGCACCGGAGTGCAGTGCGTGTGTGTTTGTATACGTAACCACAAAAAAAAAATTTGCGTTTTCATCCTTAAACAAACCGCGCCGCGGAGAAATGAAATCACACGCGGGAGAATCAAAGAGATTAAAATCCGCTCGGCGGCGGCGTGTCGGTTCTCTCGGACGCGCGCGCGTGCAGGTGCAGGGCGCAGGAGAATTACGGACGCGAAAAGAGAAGTGGGTAAAAACTATTAGGGAGCGTAAAAAGAGCGATCGCGATTAAAGGCTCGTCGGGGAATAAGAGAATGCGCACGGATTACGTCACACGTATGTCTACGTCGCGCGCGGCGAAGCGAAGCGTGCAGGTTGCAGGGGGGGGGAGGGGGAGAAATTATCAATGCCGTGGCCCAACCGCGGGAGAAAAGCAGGGAGGGGGGGGGGGCAATCAGGATGTTGTATATAGTGGATCACATCGAGAGCATCAGGTGAAGCGCGGTATTCAGAGAGCGGTTATTCATATGCCGGGCATCCCAGCCGCGCTCTGCAGGGTTCTGCTCATCTCCATCACGGGATCCTCCGAGCGGAAGCGGAGAGGAGCCGGCGCGCGGCCGTGCTTTCGCTCGCCGCGCAGCTCGGTAATACAGAAGCTGTATACAGCGATAGAGCGCTATAGCGATATAGCGATTCCGCGCGCACGGAGCAAGAGAGCCCTCACACTCCGCCGCGATAATCAACATGTATATTCGCATGCTCCTTAAGCGTGACGACGAGGGCACGACCGCCGCGCGCGGGAGCATCGTCCAGCACCATCGTCAGTTTCGTGAAGAGGTATTTAGCATCACAAAGGAGAGCGAGAAGCAGTTTCTACGGGGCCGTAGAAGGCGCTATATACACCGCGGCCCGACCACCGGACGGACGCTGCTGTGGAACGCTCCGCGTGTATACATACATACGACGGATGCGTTTCACGCGTGCGTGCCCGCTCGCTCGCTCGCGTGCATTCCGCGCCTTTCCGCGAGCGCGCGCGCTCGCGCGATATATCGCGGCATCGTCGCGTGGAAATGCGAGCCGTGTTTTTCTGCTTTTCGAAACATCCTCCGACTTCCGCCGTATGTATATACATACATGTATACCGTTTCTCTTTCTCTCTCTTTCTCTCTCTCTCTCTACCTCCCTCTTTCAGTTTAGTTTCTTTATTGTCTCTTTGTACCGAGAAATCCCTGCCGATTTTCGTCATGGATTATTCGATTGAGAAAGCGAAGCGATCTCTCGTCTTGATATTTTCTCCGATTGCTGGTGTTTTCTTTCGCAATACGTATAATTTTAAAATACGATAGAATAGCATACGATTTTCGCTAAAACGACATTATTTGTTGTTGTTATTGCATCGAGATATTATTATTTCGTTAAGAATGTCTGACAGCTGATTTTTTTACATATTTTTTGCTGCGTGGTTTTTTTAACGCATAACAAAAATTGCTTTCTTTTTCATGCATGTTTGCATGAAAAATTGATGTGCCCGTGAAAAAGACGAAATCTAGTGCAGAGAAGCGTTCTGTTCCGCGAGATCAAGTTATTTGCGTTTTTTTTTATGTGCATTCGAAATTTAGAGGTTCATTTCGGTGCAGGGTGAAATTTTCCGATTGTCTGAAAATCGCATGTATATTTCCATTTTCCATCTAATGAAATTGGTCGCTGAATCTAAAATTGATAAAATTAAAGCGATTGGAGCAGAATAAAGTGATGAACGAAATGCATTTTTAATTCAAAATCAAATTTCTCCCTTTTTTTGGTTTTTTTCTAAGTCTCTTTTTTTAAAATAGTTATCGCTTTAAATAGTTATCCTTTTCATGAAGATTCACAAAGAAAATCGTAGAAACGTCGAAAAAAACGATGAACTTCGAGCGGTTTTCGATAAAAAATGCATTTTTTTTCTACAATTTTGTTCTGCTCTAATCGCTTCAATTTTTCATTTCGAATTCGACGATCAATTTTACATGGAAATATAGGGTTTTTAGACAATCGCAAAATCTCATCTTGCCGAGGTCGAGAAATGACCTCCTCTTCAAATGTGCGTGAAAAACGTAAATAACTTGATCTCGCGGAACAGAACGCACTTCTATGCTATATTTCATCTTTACTTTCACGGACATTTCGATTTTTTCATGCGCGAAAAAGAATGATTTTTGTTACACGGGATGTGTGTATGTGTTTGTTTGTTTTCAGAAAGATAGATTTATATATATTTTTTCAGCAGAAATAAATAAGTATTATAAAAAAGGATTATTAAAAATTGTGCTTGTAACTCTCGTTTTCGTAATATCTGTTGCCTCTTCCAATCGCAATGGCTAAAGGACATAATGATTGAATAACGAGAATACTTTAGCAAACGTATATACCGTGCATTTTAATTAAAAAGTACGCATACGTTATTTTCCATTGCTTTGCCGTGCGAATACGCGGAATTCCATGAAATCTGCAATAATCCACAATAGCTGTACCTAAAATCGTGCATCAGTTTTGTACCTTGCATGTTTTCTATGAATAAAAGCAAACCAAACCATCAAAACAAACGTTACAAAGCTTATTAATTAGGTCGCGATAAATAAATTAATTAACGTTACACATCATATTTATCGGCAAATTATTTATTCACTGCCAGAACGGCAATTTAATTATCGTAATTTAATAACGACAGTATGTATTTTGCTCCTTGTGTTTCTGGAAATAAAACGAGCTGTTCGATTTACATCGATAACATATAAAAGGAGAGATATTCAAGTTATTACAATTGTGCAGGAAAAAAAATAACCGGCACAATCATTTGTAAATTTCTTCCGCGGAAAATTGTGCGGAACGTGTTTCACTTTCATGTTTCTACGAAACACGCGGGAATCTAATAGCCGTGTAATTGTGATCGATACCAGATTAACTCTCACGGTATTAATCATACATCCGGATATCAATTTTATTCCGACGATAATCTCCTTATCGCCTTCGCGGTCTATCAGTCCCTATTTACCTGCGCGAGCTGTGGAATCGTACGCGAAACCTTCGCATACTTGTGCGTCATCAAGTTTTCCCCACAGCGAGAAAATCGAAGATCGCGGTCATTGAGAGAATTTTTATAACACGCGAGTATGCACTTCTGCTTATCTATCTTCTTTACATCACGATCGATCATAATCAAATTCTTGCCTTCGCATCTTCCACGTAACCGCGCGCGCGGAAATGCGTGTATATGATGGAGTGCCTTTTACTCTCGTGGAAATAAGTCATGCGATCGTATAGATATACAATTCGAGATCCCTTCAAACGTACACACTGAGAAAAATGTCCAGTGGTTTTGATTGGAAATAACGCGCGTTTATGTCCTTTTCCGATAATTTTTCGATCGGTAAACGGATCGGATACAAAATAATCATTTCCTTTATCCGACACGAAGAGAATTTTTTTTTTAATTTACCCTGCAAATTATGTTAATTATAGGACAATATAGTATTTAGACAAATTTTACTGTGCACTACAATAAATTTTACTGTAAAATCTTATTGTAGTGTACAGTAAAATTTGCCTAAATACTATCCCATAATTAACATGATTTGCAGGGTAAATTTAAAACAAAATTCTCTCCATGTCGGATAAAGGAAATGATTATTTTGTATCCGATCCGTTTATCGATCGAAAAATTATCGGAAAAGGACATAAACGGTTATTTCCTATCAAAACCACTGGACATTTTTCTCAGTGTGTATATTGTCCCATAATTAACATGATTTGCAGGGTAAATTAAAAAAAAAAATTCTCTCCGTGGATGAAATGTGATTTCCGATAAAAATGTAAACGGAGAAAACGAGCCGCCATATGCTTATTCGGTAAAATTTCGTAGGCTAAATGGACAACTAGATCGGATGTTATACTCGAACGGATATTTTATCCGATCAATTGTAACGTTCGATCTAGTTGTCGGTTTATCCTATGAAATTTTCAAGTCAAATGTGATATCCGATCAGGAAAGCTCCCTTTTCTTACAATCAGTGCTGTTATCAGTCTTTTACTTGAGTTTGAGGGAGGTGGACGTCTTCCGTTTCGGCTCGAGTATTGCATTATTTTTTGAACTGCATGACAAAACCTGCGGAGTCTTATAAGCATTATAAGCTTGGCCAAGTTTATCTCTACTTGAGGGGACCAAGGCCATTGTAGAAAAATTAGAAAAAAGAAGAAGAAAGTGATCAATATATTTCCGATGAACTAGTGATCGGATATTTCTCTTGACGTTCCAATCAATATTATTTCCGATGAACTAGTGATCGGATTTTTGTTCGGACCAAATTGATCGTAAATATCCGTTTGTTACTTTTTAAAAGGATATAATCCGATATTTTTGAACGGAAAGAGCTTGGAAATTTTTCTCAGCGCACGGACATAATTTCCGTTGTTTTATCGCACGACATTTTGTTCAGAACCCTTTCTTTCCTTTGTTTCCCGCAGAAATTGTGGCGAGGTGACGAGGCGGTGGAAGTGATCGGGCCGGTGCGAGTGCTTCATCGATACGTCAACATGCCGGAACAGTCAGCGGAGTTCTACAACGAGACGACGAAGAAGCTGGAGGAGGTAAACGATATAAACGGGGATTGTCGTCCCGTGGGGGCGCGAATTCTCCTGGACTAGGAGGGTGATGGGAATTATTTATTCGCGAGCTCACTTTCGATGCAGGTGCACGGCTGCGTACCGGCGATGGGTTACAGCTTCGCGGCCGGCACGACCGACGGGCCCGGCTCGTTCGCGTTCGAGCAAGGAACGACGACGTCGAATCCCTTCTGGAACACCGTGCGAAACTTCCTGGCCGCCCCCACGAACAACGACATCAGCTGTCATAGTCCGAAGCCTATTTTATTAGCCACCGGACGGGTGAGTCCGCCTCTCTAATAAAGTTGCATTCTACACCTACCCTGCACGGAAAGAATTTGCTGAAAGATTCGTAAAATTTAGGATGCAGATTTTAACCCAGCAAACACAGATTATAACTACTACATTGCAGCAACAATGTAATACTCCTGCAATATAACTGCACAGTAAAAAACGTTTTTGTATTTATGTTAAAAACGCGGTCCACTCACGTTCTTGTTAAAATTTTGTGTCAAATTTTCAACTTGTTTACTTGTTAAATTAATGTGATTATGTTATTTAAATATTTTGTGTTAAATTAATATTCAATATTTTCCAGTGTCAAAATATCACAATTTATAAGCGAATAAATAATATAAAAATAAAGTAGTTTTAAACCGTAAATTCTAAGATAAATGAATAAAAGATAAATAAACTTGTTAATTTTATATGTTATAAGTATTAATTTTACTGAAGAATAATGTTTGCACAATTTGTTTCCAAATTGTATTAAAGTACTACATTTTTTGTGTTAATTTTTATGTAATATTTGTATTACTTTCTAACATATTTATCTTTTATTAAATTAACACAAAAATTTGAGTGGATCATTTGGGACATGTAAGATGTGTTAATTTAACACAAATTTTTTAACTGCGTGGAATGTTACAATATTACTGCAACATTGCAATTATAATCTGTGTTTGCTGGGAAAATAATCCCAGACAGCACACAACAGCATGCATGTCCAAAAGTGAGTCTTCAAGATATTTAAAAGACTGTCTCAATGGTTTGGGATTTTGTTGGACCGTCAGAACAATTAAACCGAGAGAAAAATAGAGAGAAAGTTAGAATAACCATAATTTAAATATAATTTACAGTGAATTTCAAGGATAACTATAAAATTGTAATTAATTTAACCATGCAAGTTATAGCTTTAACATTATGGTTATACATTATGATTGATATTATTTTTTTGTTAACTTATTTTTTAGTTATTATTAATATAAATAGTAAGCAAATGTTAAGAAAATATTAATATTTACTATAACTACAGTTTACTACATAAAAATATTTATTTCATTTGTCATTTCGCGAATATATATCTTGATATCTCACTATATTAATATTTGAAATTGTTACAATTTATAATAAAATTTTCTCATATTTGATAGAACTACATACAAGATCATTATTATTAACATTATAGTAATAATAACTGTAAAAATAGTGCTTCTAACTATAATTTTTTACCATATAATTATAGTCACGAATACAAAATATTTTTCTCTCATATGTATATTGAAAACTCAATATTGATGAGCAATGCCTCAAAAAATTTTTATATACCAGCAATCAGTTTGAGCTTCCAACCTAATTACTTCGACGGCTTAATTAAATTATTTTCAAATCTGTGTCCAACTAAATTTGAGAATCTTTCAGTGAAATCTTTCCGCGTGCGATCCCGAATCTACCACTCACTGCATGTATTGTACAATTAATATTGCCATTAGAATGCAATTAAGATATGTGATTAATGGGATTTCATTGTGTGATAGACGTATAGATTCTTCTCATAGATACCACAAAGAAATACCGGCAATAAAATTCAATGTAAATTATCGGCGTTTAGATAAGTAATGAGTCGCGATTTGTATGGAAAGAGAAAAATGGAAATGCTTGTATACCGTCGGGTGCGATACACGCGGCATAATTGAACGCTTTGAAATCGCTACGTCGCACAGTGGGACATACAGTCGCTTTTTGCGGTAAAAAAAATCATTCGACGGCTCAATTCCCAACCGATTGCAATGGATATTTTTAAATATACGTCATTTACTGTACTATAGCGGAGATCTGCACATTTTTTAATATTAACAACAATTAACAACAAATCGTTTTTGTAATAAACTTCTTGACAAACATTTTTTAGTGCATTCATAATTCTTTTATTAAAATCTTAATCTACAAGGGTTTTTAGGATCGCTGATTACGAAACTGTCGCTCAAATTTTAAAATTCAAAATGGTTGATCCAATATATAGCAGTCGTGAACTGAAAATGTGGGACAAATTCGCGAAATGATATTCCACATTTTCAGTTCACGGTCGCTATATTGGATCAACTAGTTTGAATTTTGAAATTTGAGTGACAGTTTCGTGATGAGCGATTCCAAAAAGCCTTGTAAATCAAGATTTTGATGAAAGAATTATGAATACACTAAAAAATTGTAACAGTAAAAATTATTACACACCAACATCCGTGTCGGCCTGAAAAGGCATTATTGGTTATTTATGATTATTCATTATACAAGCCTCAATTTCTTCAAGTTAAATTTACACTAAAAAATGTTCATCAACGCGCCATAAAATGACTTACAATAGCAGCTAAATTTCAATAGCTGAAACAAACTTAGCTGTAAGAGCTATCGCCTTAGTGTTATTGCTAAGTTCTGTCTATTATAGTTCAGTCTATTACAGGCTTAGTGTCGTTGCTAAGTTCTGTCTAGTACAGATAAAAAACATTCACTGTGACAAAAAAATTTATTAACTGAAATTAAAAGCGTATATATTAATACAGGCGGCTAAAAAGGTGGCATGCGTATCTAAATGTCTTATCATGCACACATTTAGCACACAGAGCTAAGTTTATAGCTACGCGCGAAAATTTGATTTGTAATTGTTTCTGCAATGTGGTACTGCCTTTTGCACATCTACAGCGCATTTAGCATTTATATTTTGCAGTATATAAGCTATTTACTGCAAATATTATTATTCTATTGCGAAGATAAAATAGCATAATAGATTCGGCTAAATATTATTTAATTTTAGCAGCAAATATTTTTTGTTCTAGCACCTACATTTTAATAACTACACGGAAAAAATGATTTTGTTGAAAGATTTAAAAGTTTTGCTAAAAACAGATCTAAAAATAATTTTTTATTAAATCATCAAAATAATTTATTGGAATGTTAAAACTGATAAGCATTGTTATAAAATGTTTTAATATTTTAGCAATCATTTTGACTTTCGCACACAATTATTTTGATTATTAAACAAAAATTATTTTCAGATCTGGATTCAGCAAAAGTGCTCTTTCCGTGTAATAAATTGAACTTCGGCAGCAACAACATTAGCTGTCCCTATTTTAACGACACATTTTAGCTGCCACAGCTATATTTTAGCTTCATTGGCTAATCCTTTCTTGCGTGAAGAAGTTTATTACAATAACGATTTTTTTGTTAATTAACAAATTGTAATATTAAAAGATATGCAGGTCTTCGCTGTGGTACAGTAAATGACGCGTATGAAAAAAAAATCTATTGCAATCGGTTGAGAATTGAGCAGTCGATTGTCGACCGCCGCAAAAAGCGACTTTACACCCACCGTGCGTCGGGCGCAAAATCGAAACCGTCGATCTACACATTCGGACGTTGACTCGACGCGACCTTTCAGATGAGGCTCCCCTATCAGTGGCAGCCGAAAATCGTCTCGACGCAAATCGCCATGATCGGCGGCGTCGTTATCGCCGGCGTGCCCGGTGAGTTCACGACAATGTCCGGAAGGAGGTTGCGAGAGACCATCAAGAAAGTCATGAACGATGCGTCGGACGTCGAAACGTCCGTAATACTCGCGGGGCTCTGCAATGTTTACAGCGATTACGTAACGACGCCCGAGGAGTATCAGGTAAATGTAATGTGTTCGTCGCTCGTTGTTATTGTTATAAGCGTTATAGCATTTGTGGGCGTCGAGGATTGGGACGACTTTGGGGACTTCTGCCGTTCCGCACGCGGAACGGGCCGGATTAGCCGCCGCAATTTATAATATTATTGTAGTATGCCGTTAAAACAAAATTCCCCGATTTCATATGCATGCATACATACATACATATCTGTATCGACAAGGCACACATATATATATGTTCCTGCAGGTCGGAAGTTTGGCATTGCGACGAAACTCGCAGATAGAGTAATATTTTTGGTTTTGTACAATAACACTATTGGATTTGAAGAACTATTGTTGAAAAGGGATACGTTGTTATAAATATAATATTTTATTAAGCAATTCCAAAAATCAAGTGTCTCTAAACTTTTCGTCTGCAGAGAAACGATTTTGCTCTGATCCGAAAACTATTTTATTGAATTATCAAAATAAAGTTATATATAAAAATATTTAATATTTCAACAACTAGTTTGTATTTCCGACATATTTTTTTTTGTATTCAGCAAAATTTAAAAAATCTGCATACACGAAAAGAATGATTTTGCTAAAGTGTTTTAAAAATTACATTAACCCTTCATGGTCACACTTAATAGTTACCACGATGTACATACTGGGACAAAATGACCCGAGCCGTTTTTATAGTGCTTATCAAATCAACAGTATTTCTTATCTATTAGTTCCGTTAACTTTAAAAAATTATAGTATATAATTTAAACTTTTAAGAAAATAGAACAATAGCGTTTCAGTGAAAAATTTAATCTTAACATTTGAAAAAAAAAATCGTAAACGTGTTAACTTCGAAAAAATGAATATTTTTTTATTTAAAAAATCATAACTTTTTAAACTTTTAATATTTTTAAATAAAATTTTAGCCTAATTCTCTTGAGATGATGTACTTTTAAGAAAAAAATAGTATGATTATGGCGGGTGCGCGCCCTTCCTAAGCCAAGTAGATTCTGAAATCTAGCGTATAAAAAAAAGATTATGCTTGGGTCATTTTCACCATAAAGGGTTAAATAATAGATCTGAGAATAATTTTATTGGACTATCAAAATAATTGTGTACAGAACGCTTAAGCACGATGGGTAATATTGTAAGAGTTTTGCCATTCTGGCAATCAACTTGAGCATCCTACACAATTACTTTGATATAGTCCAATAAAATTATTTTCAGATCTAGTTAAATTTTCTTATTACTTTAGCAAAACCATTCTTTCCGCATGTTATTTTCTGAGTTTTATAATAAATGACGAGATAAATAGCGCGTTGAATCACTGAAGTAACCTCGAACTATTGATTCTCTTCGTACATGGAATCATTTTTTTTCCTGAAACATATTTCTTGATGCATAATGCATAATAGCCGTGTGAATTATTAACTTTCAGATACAGAGATACGAAGGCGCATCGACGATTTATGGTCCGCATACGCTTACAATATACTTGAAGCAATACGAGGAGCTGGCGCAGGCGATTGTTCAAGTGAGTAAATAAAGCATATGCGTCTACTATGGAAATATGCGAAATATTATTAGTTCAGGATCGAGAAAAACTCTTTCTCCGCCAGTAAGATGCGATCGGTTTGATAGTGAGAATACTTTTCCACTTAGTAATCGATTATTATTTTCGCAGAAGTTATGATTCATTTATCTTTCACATCATCGCCGCAGAATTGCCTATACTGCACGGAAAGAAGAATTTTGCTAAAAGATTTAAAATCATCCTGAATACAGATCTGAAAATAATTTTGTTGAAGGCAGCAAGATAATTATGTTATCGGAAAATCAATATTGATGAGTGCTGCAAGAAACTTTGACATTCTAGCAACTAATTTGAGTTTCGAACATAATTATTTAATTATTTTGATGGTTCAACGAATTTTATTTTCAAATCTGTATTCGGCAAAAATTTAGATTCGGCAGATTTTAGATCTTTCAGCAAAATCGTTCTTTACATGCAATTATCTATAACATTTATATTGAGAACGCACTTTATGTTTCATCGTTATTGCAGAATCTTTCACATCATTGCAAAGCTGCAGAATTGCCTATACACGGAAAGAACAATTTTGCTGAAAGATCTAAAATCTTGCCGAATACAGATCTGAAAATAAAATTTATTGAATTATCAAAATAATTAAATAATTATGAAAACTCAAGAAAGTCGGGAAGATTAAAATCTTTCTGGATACAGATCTGGAAATAATTTTGTTGAAGATAATTTAATAAATTTTATTTTCAGATCTGTATTCGACAAGATTTTAGATCTTTCAGTCAAATCGTTCCTCTCCGATATGTAATTATTTATAACATTTGCATTGAGAACGCACGTTATGTTTCATCGCGGAATCTTTCATCATCGCAGAATTAGGCTATACACAGAAAGAACAATTTTGCTGAAAGATTGAAAATCTTTCCTGAATACAGATCCGAAAATAATCTTGTTGGACCACCAAGATAATTACGTTGCCGTAAACTCAATATTGATCATCAGTGCTGCAGAAAACTTTGATGTTCCAGCAATCAATTTGAGTTGCCAACCATAATTATTTAATTATCTTCATTTGAATTCAACAAATTTCATTTTCAGATCTGTATTCGGCAAGATTTTAGATCTCTCCGCAGAATCATCCCATATAATATGTACAATTATATATTTATATATGACATTTATATATATATCGAGAAACGCACGTTATTGCAGAATAAATCCGTGCCGCCAGGACCGCCCGCCCCGGAGCTGCTGCAGAGCAACCTGATCACCCTCGTGCCGCCCGTGCTGTACGACACCCCGCTGTGGAAGCGCAACTTCGGGGACGTTATCCAGCAGCCGGAGAAAGTCGCGTCGCCCGGTAACACGATTACGGCGAGCTTCGTAAGTGTCTCCCCTGGTATCTCACCAAACCTGTGATTTATATCATTCCGAGAAAGCGCTCTAAGGATTTCCCCCCTCCCCTTCTCCTCTTCCCGTCGGCCCGATGGAAAATCGCGCGTCATCCGTTGTCAAATAATGGAGAGCAATCGAACGAGGGGGTCGTCGCCGCGCAAACTGAATCGAATCCGTATCGCGGCGTCACATCAGGGACATTACCGCGCAACGTGACGTATGTAATTGAATTCGCGTGTAGGATAGGTCAGGGGGGAGGGAGGGAGATCCGATCGTGCGTCGACAAGCTTGCGCAAAACACACGTGCAATTTCATTTCGCGTGTAACGCGGGCGCCGCCGCTCGCTTCGCGAGCCATTGAACGCGGGGGGAATATACACGCGAAATGGACCGATTACTATGCGACCTGTGCAGCATCCCCCGCGGCCTGTCCTGTAAACACCGCAATAATGAACCTTTAATACGGCATAACACATTGCGAATCGGTCAAACTACAATATAACGCCCCGTCAGTCTGCAAGGCCGCCCACTGTGACAACAGGAAACTTCGCGAATTAATTCACCATAGCGCGCGGTACATAAGCTACTGAACCGGTGGAAATCAATCGCGGCGATGTACACGCGATCGATTCTACGTCGAGTTAATTCCACGTCGTTGTGTATCTCAATTGTTTATTTCAGGGTTGTACATCTACGCGGAAAATATAATACTCTACGTTTACGTGTAGACAACGTAAACTATTGATATAAGTGTCATCTATGTAGACAGTCAGTAGATTATACATATATTTATTCATTTAATAAATACATATAATTTAACGTTTATGTAAAAAAAAAAAAACTACCATTTGAGTAAGAAAAATTCTCTGGTTACATTCTTAATCTTAATCTCGCAGTTAAATTAATGTTCAAAATACGTCAAGAATATCCTAAAAGTGTCGTGATATCTTTAGTTTGTTCCTAGATACATTTTGGACATTTCTACTGTGGGTACAAGGAAAGAACGATTTTGTTGAAAGGTCTACAAATTTTGCTAAAAACAGATCCGATAATTTTGATTGATCTGATTAATCTGATAAAACAAATGAATAATTTTTTATTAAACCATTAAAATAATTTGTTGGAATGTTAAAACTGATAAGCATTGCTATAAAACGTTTTGATATTCTAGCAATCATTTTGACTTTTGCGTAAAATTATTTTCATTATTGAACACAAATTATTTTCAGATCTGGATTTATCAAAACTGTGGGTAGAGACTGCTTTATAATTTAATTCTTTTATATTAGTGATACAATTTACAACAGTCCACACAGTTTACAAGTCTAAATTATCTACGTAGCAAAAAGACCATGTAAACATCACGTAGATTTCACGTAAATAATCCATGTAGACGTAATTTTGAAATCTTCGGCACAGCTCTGGTTTGTTTATGTCACCGATGTTTATTGTCGTTTACAGAAAAATTAACAGCGCATGCGCGCTTCGTCCGTGTTTGTTGAAATTTATCGTCTTCTAAAACGCGTACTAAAACGGAGGAGAACAAGGGAGATCAAGCTGTTTGTCATATAATAATTCCGTGAATGGAATTTTCCGCGTGGCGGAAACGGAAAAAAATGCCGTTGACACGACATAACGAATTTGACGTAAGACACACATTGTGGCGAAAATTCGAACAAAGGAATGCTTTACGCGCGGCTATTTCTTGTCCGCCTTATCCGTCCTCCTTTCTTCCCTCGTGTTCCTCCCTTATCTGAAAAGGCTACAATGGCGTTATGTAACACGAGACTCGGTAAATGGGATATTACCTACATGCTAAATGATTTCAATGTTGTATTGTTTTATGATTTCGACCGTATAAATTAACCCAGAATCGAGTATATAATGCTAAAATGTAATTATTCTGTTAACTACCGACAAATAATGACGTCGTAATTACTGTAAATGGATTAACAATCAAGTTCTTGATTACGTATACGTCGTATACAAACATTAATCATTACACATATGTATGATGAATTAATTAATTTTGTTCATATTTGTGTGCAAATAAATAAATATATTGTGTACATATACACATACAGGATGTAACAACGCTTAGGGGTACATTCCTGATATTGTTTTAAGACAAAAATCCCAATACATAAAATGTCAAAATTGTTTTTAAATTATAAGCATTTAAGGTTAGCAAATCGGGCTGTTTGAAGCTTGACGCATTCAGATGGTGGTAAATTAAATTAAATTAAATTAAATTTATTTTATTTAATATTTGAGTATTATATGAATTATAATACATATACGTATTGTATTTACAATTATATTGTATAACATGCTTATTATGTATATTATATATTTTATTCTTATTTATTATTTATTTATTTATTATGTATTATCAGAAAATATTTTCTTAAAATATAATAGAACTTTGTCGAATAATCTAGAGACGAAGAGCGCGCTCTGAATATGCCCCGATACTCGTAAAACTTCATGTGTTAAGGCATTCATGTCCCCGTATGTACGTACAACACAAATTGCTAAAGGCGAAAGCTAATTAACTCCACTTGTTAATACAGACAATAAGGATTACACGAAGATGAGATCGCTTTTAATTTATATTGTAACTCGGAGATTATGATAGTCAATTTAATATTAGAATTTTTGCCATAATAATGCCAGGAATTTACCCTTAATTGTCACATTCTTACGGGACATCTTGCATATATACAATATATACAGGGTGGACCATTTTAATCCATCCAGTCGAATATCTCGAAAATCAAGCCCGGGAGAGAAAAATTTTTCAGACAAAAGTTGTTTGGTTACGAAGGGATCATAAGATGGTACCATTGGTTTGACCTTGAAGAATTATTTGAAAGTCACATAAAAGTCACCTCAAGTTTTTTAAATGGCATCCCCTATTTTTTATTACATATTCTTATAGCTGACCTCGAGAGCTTTCTAAAACACTATAATCAAATGTTTCTTTATTGAATACTTTTCGAGTTATATAAAGCTCCAAAGTTGCAACTTATGGTCCCTTCGAAACCAAACAACTTTTGTCTGAAAAATTTTTCTCTCCCGGGCTTGATTTTCGAGATATTCGACTGGATGGATTAAAATGGTCCACCCTGTATATATTTTTTTGTTTGTTTAATAATATACATATAGTTAAAATGTAATAAAACATGCGCAAAAAATCCATTTAATTTTGACGTGCGGTTCTTTTTCTCAGGAAGCTTTTCCGACACACACAGCTGCACTTCCGTTCCGACTCGGAATGTATACGAAGGCGAGAATGATCGCCGCGTTGATTCCTTTCATAGGCGGAAATCGTCGCTCGTCGTTAATCGCCGGCGGATCCGCATTTTTATCGCGATTGAGTCACGCAATAAAAAGCAGCGCGCGACGTTTTCCCGCGCCGCGCGCTCGCGTAACGCTCGGAAAATAGGTTGCCTTCGGTGACGCGCGGTGCGAACGGATTAAGTAATCCGTAAATTACCTTCTGGCTATAATTTCCGGCCGTGGTGGCGCGAGATGCATCGTGAAAGCGGAGATACAAATGAATCACGAGTCCGTAACTTACGCTCGCGCGAGAGGCCAGTTTAGAACTTCTCCATTCCCCGGCGCGCGTATTGATCGCTTGGAAAAACATCTTTCTCTCTCTCTCTCTCGCGCGCGCAAACGCTGTTTCCGGTATCAGCTGCGGTATGTAAAACACGTCGCTTTTGCGATTCCGTTTCAAATAGAGAGCGTACTTCGAAGTGGAAAGAGACGGATATTCTCGTTTATCTTATTCTGATTGTATATAGTATAAATGGAGTGCTTCGATTGTACGATTGAAACGCAACAATAAAAGATGGGATAAAAGGATTTGCAGCGGCGTCGTTATTTCTGATTGCAGGTTGCCGGTCATCCACGTAACAATCGAATGACCGAGAGCACGTTCTTAACTGTGGAGCGATTAGAGGAGGACGAAGTTTGGATACCAGTTGCGACGGACGCCGATTGGGAGACCAAGTACGTGCGCCAAGTCGCGCGACACCGTTCCCCGATGCACCTTAAGCGGCGTCTACAATGAGACTTGAGATTTAGGAAAATTGACCAATCAAATCACAATCGATTATTCTTCTCACGTGAGATGAGTAATCGACTGTGATTAGTCTATTTTTTTTTAATTTTAAGTTTTAAGTCTCATTGTGGACGACGTTTTAAGCTGATTCTACATTAACCCTAAATATACACTCGGGACCCCAGCGAAATTTTCTCGGTTTGGCATTTTTGAAATTGGAAAGGGAGTTTAGGATATCGACATAAAAAAAAAATTTGGGATCTCCTCAGTAGGAAGACGTGTTGACGCGCGGCAATTATATCGCTCAACAACCGAGCAGTAAACAGTTGAAGTGAGCGTGAGCTCCTCGGGACTACTTGCAGTTTTGTTAAAAAATTAAAATATCGGATCGCCAAATTTTTTTTGTTACTATTTTAAGTATGCCCTTTCAGAATTTTCAAGGATTTTTCAAATCGGTCTATAAACAAAGAAGATATGATTTTTTGAAAAAAAGTACTAAATCGAGATTTTTTCGCGTTTTTGAACTTTCCTTTTTCTTTGAACCCGTATATCTTGGAACTCCTTAATTCTATCGACTTTTAAACATTATGGGTTTGTTCCTTGGTCGATTCTCTATCGATCGAAAAAAAAATTAATTGAAATATGTCCATTTTTACAGTTACAGTAATAAATATGGATGGGGTCTCCGGAATCCCAGTGTGTATACGACGTCGTTAAAGAAACAATGCATGTATACCTAGGGTTAAAAGTCCATCTGCAATGAGAGTAGTAAGTCGTAAACCGTAAGAAATAGACCAATCACAGTCGATTATTCTTCTCATATTCGACGGTGTTTGGTCAATTTCTTAAGAATTACGAATTACTACTCTCATTGTAGATGGACCTTTAAGCGGCGTCTAGAATGAGACTTACGACTTGAGATTTAAGTCTTATTGTATTTTAGTTGCATCGCACAGCGTCGCAAACGTTGCGATCCAGTTGAGATCTAATCAATGCTAAGCTAGCTCGATGCCAATTGGATCGCAACTGGATCGCTACGTTTGCGACGGTGCGACGCAACTAATGTAGAACCAGCCTTTGTACGGCGATAAGTATATATATAAACAAGCGATGCAATTTTTTTTTTGAACGTACGATTCTTCGTGCGATTCTTTCTTTTTAGCCTCTCTTTCAGCTTCTATTTTTACCTTTTATAGCGATAATAAATCGCAATGGGACATATGTGCGCTTTTAGATTTCAATGGAGGCGAACTTCTATGATACTGGGGTCGAGTCAGGTGACCATTACGTGGGAAATCCCGCAGGACGTTAAACCGGGTGAATATCGCATCAGACATAATGGTTATTATCGCTACGTCCTTGGCGGCGTGTATCCTTACTACGGTGTCACCAATCATTTTCAGGTGAGTTTCGACGTAAGCACACACGCCATAAATACATTTATTTACTGTTTACGTGTATAGCGTGTATTAAAGAAACCAAGTACAAGCCATAATAGTATATACATTACTTACACGGAAAGAACAATTTTGCTGAATCCAGATCTGAAAATAATTTTTGTTCAATAATCAAAATAATTTTGTGCAACAGTTAAAATGATTGCTAGAATATCAAAATGTTTTATAGCAATACTTATCAGT